CGGGGGCGGGGAAGGGGGAGGGGGCCCCTGCTTTCATCCGTCAATGCTCTCAAAAGACAAAAGTAAGGACTGAGTCGTTTTTTATGCATTTTGTGCTATGCAACAACTGCATATTGTCAGGTCTTTATGTGCATGCGTGTGTTCGCACTTTTCAACTCGGAAAAACTAAGGAATTGAAATATTAAGAGAATATTCTCCCTTCCCATGTATGGACCCCTTAAATTAAATTTCAGCCTTCACGTACGCCCAAGTCTCACGTACGGTTACGTGAAAATCTCGGCGTCAAAACTAAAAACTCCGAAACTAGGGGAGCTAGGAAGCTGACATTTTAGGGGAATGTTCCCTTCACACACGCAAATTTTAGATTCAGGCCCCACGTATGCTTGGACCTCACGCATGGACGCGTTAAGTTTCTAGCGTGAAAATTATTAACTCGGGAACCACAAAAGCCAGGAAGCTGAAGTTTTAAGACAATATTCCAAGCCCATGTCCCATCTCAAAAATTTAAAATCAACACCCACTTATGCCTGAGCCTCATGTACACATATGTGGGAGTTGGGGCGAAATTTTCTGTCTGGAGAACCGGCAAGGCAGAAAGTTAAAAATCCCTAAATTCACTGCTTCCAGTGGATGTAAAACCTTGGAATTTCAAACTCAAATTTTTGTTACGCTTGTGTTTTAGATACGGATAAGTGAAATTTTAAGAAAGGAACATTGCCACATCACGGGAACACTGCCTTATAAACCTGGAGACGGAGATAAGCAAGGGACATTGCCATACCAACCTGGAGATCTTAATGGTACTTCTATTTAATCATAACTTAATACTATTTGCACATAATAATAACTTAACACTGTTTCAACCTAAATGCTTTCCAGGTTTTTGAAATCTCTCAAAAATGATTGACATTTTTTTCTGAAAAATTTTTGGAAAAAAATTTTGACAAATAGAATGAAAATGAGTACCGTTTCTTGGTCGTCTGCTTCCGCTAGAGTTTTCACATCCGTTTTGCTGATAATATTTGAAAAATCTAAAACAGCAAACATGTTCACAAAAAAACTCTAATTACATATGTATATATATATATGTTCACGCTTTTCTCTGGTCGGTTAGTTTTTCGTGGTTTAAGAGTGGCAAAGTACGTGGACGGGGTGATCATGCTCAACTCATACCAAGGACGACAAAAGCCAAGTGCTTGTTTCGGAGGAACTATTAACCTTGATAACTTTCTGAGGAGGCGAAACGAATGTATTGATTCGTCAGTATACTAAAAACTAAGCAAAGCAGCGCTACATTACAGCAAGCTGAAAATCACCAGGTGCCTAGTTAAAAAATAAAACGAAAATTTACGACTTATCTAAAAGTATTCAAGGTAAGCTCCACTCTTTCACTGTTCTATTACGACCGGTATCATAATTCACAAGCTGATCCTCGATTTGCAGAGTCACGCACTGCATTATAAATAGGTATAAACATATGGTTTTTATGTTACGTCGTTTCCTCTTCTTCATGATTGATTACAGTAACCCAATCCTTTATCCCCTCTTAATCTTATTTATCCGTCTGCAAATTCATTCGTTTCCTTTCCCTTCATTAACAACTTTTTCTAATTCGCCTATCTGGCGCCTTATGGGTCTTCTCATTACCGGAAAGGAGGAACATTTCTTCACTTCCGGACCGTTAGGCTCCATATAACCCTCATTTCCCTCGCTGAGGGCCCTGTTTTCATCTATCAAATGAAACTACGCGTTTTCTCACATCGTCAGTTCTTCAACCCGGCTCATTTCCTCAGCGTCTTTCGACTCATCAACTGATCCTAGGGGATGTTCTTGTCCACTTTTCCTGTCTATCCATTTTTGTCCATTTTTTGTCCACAGCTCTTCTTGTCCAACCATTTTCGACAGTTCCTACCGTTTATGGTTAGGCCTGTTGACCAACATCATTAATTGCTCATTGCTTTCTTTGTATCGAATAAACGCCTCCCTACCAGCCCCGCGTCACAACGACCATCACATCCAATCAACATTTGCTACAATATTACGTAAATTATTTGAATTCGATATGCTGCGTGGAGGGAGGACAGCATCCCCAAGTATTCTGATTGGTCATCTTTTACCAAAAAAAGAAATTCAAAAAAAATGTTTTGTTTGAAAAATGAAATAAACTTGCTACGTACATATGTAATATTGCCCATATCTTGGCGATCGTAGTTCCTCGGCCAGTAAACGCACATTTTCAATAGTTGGCTGCAAGAATGCTACACATTTGAGGTGTTTGATTGGTTCTCTGCAAAAAAATAAAAATTTTGACACAACAGAATATTCACAAAAAGGTACTAGAACAGTCAAATGACCGCCTAAAAAGTGCATCCGGAACATGGCACTTCTGAAAAACTGTTTCCCAGTATATCTAATAAATATGACTTATGTTGCACCACGACTCCCTCCTAGGGAAGAGGGAGTCGTGATGCAACACAAGTCATATTTTATTTATTGGCCCGATGCCCCGGTGTATCGAGTCGGGTTATTGGCTCCTCGGCGATACTTGGAGTAGCAGCAGCCTTTCAGTTCCATGTGATATGCAAATGTCCCGTCTTCTGACCTGGGTTTCCCTCTCCAAGACATGTAATGATGCGATTAGAAATGAAGTGGTGATTACTTTGTGCGCTAAATAATTGCGCAGTAGTAGCTTGGAGCTGCTCCCGGATCTCCCGTTATTCTTGGTTGGTTTTTGATTCTGGGTGCCTTGTTTTTTTTTTTTTTTGTTTTTGTAATAAAGCCTTGTTTACTGGTTTAGGTATGTTTTCCCCACACAACACAAGAGCACCGCCTGGCCCAGCCCACCTCAGCGCGTAACATAAGTATTCCAGTGTTTCAAATGCAGATCCACTTTTCATTCTCATCTAACTAAAGTCCCAAGATCCAAATGTATTCCCGAGTAATATATACAGATAACAGCATCATAATAATACACTTATGTAAAAAAAAAAGAAAATATGGGATACCGTAGAGCTCCTGAATCAAGCCGTTCGAACAAATACACTTCCTTCTGCATGACATCGCTTTGTGTATAAACACATGAAACGGCGCTGGTCTAGAAATTAAGCATTGTAAATGTTAATTTGCCCCAATCCTAGTAAATTAGGAGCATACAAAATTCAAAATACATATATTTCCCTGAGTTTACCGCCATCTGCTCATATACTGCGTGAAATTTATGTATTTTCATATTTTTTCCCAATAATTTACTGTGATTTTTTCGTAAGAAATGTTGAATATAACGCACTTTCAACTTCACAGCGTATTTTACATTTAAAATATATGGTTGGAAGGCATTTTTGTGTAGAACACTCACACCGTTTATGCAAAATATGCATTTCACAAATTCTATCTCGGACAAGAAGTAAATATGCGACACAATCTCCAGCTGGTGGCTGCATGTCGAAGGCCTACTGATTTGGCGAAAATTCTACAGGCGCGCCTATACAGAACAGGCATGTTCCTTCCATGAATTTTTACGCATTTTGTGCTGTGTGATAGCAGTACAAAACGCATACTGTTACGGGGTTGTTTGTGTATATGTGTGTGTCCGACCAACTTGTCCGTAACTTTCAACTCGCGAACCACAAAAGCTAGAAAGCTGAAAATTTAAGGTAACGTTCCCCACCCACGTGTGACCCCGCAAATTTAAATTCAAAGAAGCAACGAAAATCATTAGCAGGCAATGTGGTTCGGTGAGCGGAATTGCACAAAACGCATAATCGCATTGGCTGCTCTAGTGCGTGCTGCTATTTATATTATTCATCTTACCATCATTTCATTTTTCTGGTCATAATTGTGATACTGGCATCACATTACTGGCCATTACTTTTGCTCAAAAATATGACGATTTTTTGAGAAACAAAAAAAAAACTCACCGTAAATTTGTCCATCATCAGCACTTTCATGCCAGGCCCGGCCAAGCGTAC